ACACCGTTCAGGATATTGTTGTTCTAAATTTGTTCTATGTGGCACTTACATCAACTGCATAACAAAATGACACGCAATTACTTAAACACTAACAACGTTACGAGCGCAATTTCTCGAGATTATATTTGTTTTGATATCGTGGATATAGACTCATTATCAAGTTAGTGAATAATAGTATATATATCCTTATTGTAGTGAATGATTATCACCCCCAAAGACACGTGAACAACGCTCGCGATACAGAGGACCATTATTGGCTGTGGATTACGTGCGGAGTAACAATGGGAAGACTCCATTGTTAATCACAAGCAAACCCATTGACCAGAGTATTAGAGGGAGGCGTTCTCTGCTCTGATTACGTCCAGAGCTCTCCTCCTGCTGCAGACCTCAGACACAGACACTGCCTCCTGCTGCAGACCACAGACACACACACACTGCCTCCTGCAGCAGACCACAGACACACACACTGCCTCCTGCTGCAGACCTCAGACACACACACACTGCCTCCTGCTGCAGACCACAGACACACACACTGCCTCCTGCTGCAGACCACAGACACACACACACTGCCTCCTGCTGCAGACACACACACACTGCCTCCTGCAGCAGACACACACACACTGCCTCCTGCTGCAGACCACAGACACACACACACTGCCTCCTGCTGCAGACCACAGACACACACACACTGCCTCCTGCTGCAGACCACAGACACAGACACTGCCTCCTGCTGCAGACCACAGACACACACACACTGCCTCCTGCTGCAGACCACAGACACACACACTGCCTCCTGCTGCAGACCACAGACACACACACTGCCTCCTGCTGCAGACCACAGACACACACACTGCCTCCTGCTGCAGACCACAGACACACACACTGCCTCCTGCTGCAGACCACAGACACACACACACTGCCTCCTGCTGCAGACCACAGACACACACACACTGCCTCCTGCTGCAGACCACAGACACACACACACTGCCTCCTGCAGCAGACACACACACACTGCCTCCTGCTGCAGACCACAGACACACACACTGCCTCCTGCTGCAGACCACAGACACACACACACTGCCTCCTGCAGCAGACACACACACACTGCCTCCTGCTGCAGACCACAGACACACACACACTGCTTCCTGCAGCGGACCACAGACACACGCACACACACACACTGCCTCCTGCTGCAGACCACAGACACACACACTGCCTCCTGCAGCGGACCACAGACACATACACTGCCTCCTGCTGCAGACCACAGACACACACACACTGCTTCCTGCAGCGGACCACAGACACACACACACACACTGCCTCCTGCTGCAGACCACAGACACACACACACTGCTTCCTGCTGCAGACCACAGACACATACACTGCCTCCTGCTCTGATATAATAGGACTTTTATCATTATATTGCAATGGAAGAGCAATCATGGACTTCATTTATTAACATTTTTCCTCTGCTAGGTTTTGTTTGAGTATTCGTATTGCGCGTACATTAAATACGACTTCATATTAAAGGTCTAAACTCCAGTACAAAACAATTTTCACGTTAAAAATGGTTTCTATTCTGTCCAGCTCAGTCAGACAATTCTCGTCCTATAACTTTAAGAAATTTATATCTGAACTTGAAAGAACTATAATAAAATGCAGTTGAGATGGAAAAACATAAATTAAGAAGTATTATCAGGAAATTCAGAGATATAAGAAAAAACGGACCTTTTTCTCGTCCAAGGAGATCATACGCGGACATTAGGCTCAAAAATACCACGAATTCGTTGATTTTTACCCAATTTTATTACGTAATTTAGTTGTAATTTAAAGAACTTTTTCGAAAGATGCAGAGCTACTCAAAATTAAAAGAGCGCCATGAAAAATGAATATAAGTAACTTTAACAAATATGCCTCTTGAATCCAATAGCTTTAAATTGATATATTATTCTGCAGGTTTATAATGTATGTGGACGCTGTACGAAGTCCCTTGTATTAGGCACTGTTTACCTACCAAGCAAGTTCTCACGTCTATATTGCAATGGAATATAAATACATTGAAAGAAAATTAGAGAGCTATAGAATACTAATGACCAAGAATGACCAAACACATTACATAACCACAAAGCATATTTGCATAAAATTTGAAGCAGTTTAATATAAGCATTTTGAGAATATTGGTCATGAATGTCTCTCTCTCAAACAACACCTTTATATACTATTAAGTGTTCTGGAGACGATGCAAAATGTTGCAATTTAAAGGTGCAAAATTGTATGTTGCGGATATTGAGTCGCCCCGAGACATAGCTGGATAAATCCCCTGGCTAGCAAAAGTCGCTTCATGTCTATGTACATTTTTCGTACAGAAATAAATGCTGACCGATGTAAATTACACTTGGTAGCGATGTTGTCTAACAAACACCTTACCTGTCACTTCTGCTACAGCGATGCTGATTTATAAAGAAAAGTACACAAGTATTTAGACGGAGGCTTGGGAAATGTTATGAAGATGGCGTCATGATGCGTTGCAACCCGTTCTCGCACTTGCTTACCGTCAATATTGGCTTATTTAATAAGCGCATATGTGACATACTAATTGATTGTAAATATTTTAGTTTACCTTGAAAAGCTTCATAGAAAGCACCGACCTCACCTAACCTTCTTAGTATGTTAAGATAAGCATCTTATTTACAATTATTACTTAACCTATAGCGCTGATAGGTTAAGTAATAATGGTAATTAAGAAGCAATAAGATGCTTATCTTAACATACTAAGAAGGTTAGGTGAGGTCGGTGTTTTCTATGAAGCTTTTCAAGGTAAACTAAAATATTTACAATCAATTAGTATGTCACATATGCACTTATTAAATAAGCCAATATTGACTATAAGGAAGTGCGAGAACGGGTTGCAAGATGTACCCTTCGCTCGTGCCTAGTTCAACGCGGACATTCTGAGTTGTTATTTTGTAATATCTTTATTGTTATTTGAACGTCAACAATAAGCTAAACTTGTATACAACAGATGGGAGGTTATTTCCCTACACAACACGTAGCCGCACGGATACCATAAAGTAGCCCCCATGGATACCATAAGGTAGCCCCCATGGATACCACAAGGTAGCCCCCACGGATACCATAAGGTAGCCCCCCACGGATACCATAAGGTAGCCCCCATGGATACCATAAGGTAGCCCCCACGGATACCATAAGGTAGCCCCCCATGGATACCATAAGGTAGCCCCCATGGATACCATAAGGTAGCCCCCACGGATACCATAAGGTAGCCCCCATGGATACCATAAGGTAGCCCCCACGGATACCATAAGGTAGCCCCCATGGATACCATAAGGTAGCCCCCATGGATACCATAAGGTAGCCCCCACGGATACCATAAGGTAGCCCCCATGGATACCATAAGGTAGCCCCCATGGATACCATAAGGTAGCCCCCACGGATACCATAAGGTAGCCCCCATGGATACCATAAGGTAGCCCCCACGGATACCATAAGGTAGCCCCCCATGGATACCATAAGGTAGCCCCCATGGATACCATAAGGTAGCCCCCACGGATACCATAAGGTAGCCCCCCATGGATACCATAAGGTAGCCCCCATGGATACCATAAGGTAGCCCCCACGGATACCATAAGGTAGCCCCCATGGATACCATAAGGTAGCCCCCACGGATACCATAAGGTAGCCCCCCATGGATACCATAAGGTAGCCCCCCATGGATACCATAAGGTAGCCCCCATGGATACCATAAGGTAGCCCCCACGGATAGAATAAAATACATAATAAACTAAATAACTTTTTGTAACTTCAATACCATCATTAAACAAATAAAGACAACAAATGATAGCAAATGCTTAATGCCATTCAATTTTATTAATTATTTCCAAGTCAGGTCACCAGTAAAGTGCAACGTAAGATCTGCAATTTATTCGTCTGGAAAATTATTGCAAAAATGTAAGAATTAGTGCGTAATTTGACCAAGAAATCACAAACTCTGGAAACTTGCCTCCATAAATGAGGGACTTAAGAATACTTTTTCTTAGTGTGAGGAAAAGTTTGCCACACTGCGCCTCGCATCACATTTTCCTTCATGTCTATCAAAGGGACCAACCCGCGCACTATCTTTTGTCACTTGTTGAGTATAGCTGACATATAGCTGTTGATGCGTATAGCTGACATATAGATGTTGTGGAGTATAGTTAACCATATAGATGTTGTTGAGTATAGCTAACATATAGATGTTGTTGAGTATAGCTGACATATAGATGTTGTTGAGTATAGCTGACATATAGATGTTGTTGAGTATAGCTGACATATAGATGTTGTTGAGTATAGCTGACATATAGATGTTGTTGAGTATAGCTGACATATAGATGTTGTTGAGTATAGCTGACATATAGATGTTGTTGAGTATAGCTGACATATAGATGTTGTTGAGTATAGTTAACCATATAGATGTTGTTGAGTATAGCTGACATATAGATGTTATTGAGTATAGCTGACATATAGATGTTGTTGAGTATAGCTGACATATAGATGTTGTTGAGTATAGCTGACATATAGCTGTTGTTGAGTATTGCTGACATATAGATGTTGTTGAGTATAGCTAACATATAGATGTTGTTGAGTATTGCTGACATATAGATGTTGTTGAGTATAGCTGACATATAGATGCTGTTGAGTATAGCTAACATATAGATGTTGTTGAGTATAGCTGACATATAGCTGTTGTTGAGTATTGCTGACATATAGATGTTGTTGAGTAAAGCTAACATATAGATGTTGTTGAGTATAGCTGACATATAGCTGTTGTTGAGTATTGCTGACATATAGATGTTGTTGATTAAAGCTAACATATAGATGTTGTTGAGTATAGCTGACATATAGATGTTGTTGAGTATAGTTAACCATATAGATGTTGTTGAGTATAGCTAACATATAGATGTTGTTGAGTATAGCTGACATATAGATGTTGTTGAGTATAGTTAACCATATAGATGTTGTTGAGTATAGCTGACATATAGATGCTGTTGAGTATAGCTAACATATAGATGTTGTTGAGTATAGCTGACATATAGATGCTGTTGAGTATAGTTAACCATATAGATGTTGTTGAGTATAGCTGACATATAGATGTTGTTGAGTATTGCTGACATATAGATGTTGTTGAGTATAGCTAACATATAGATGTTGTTGAGTAAAGCTAACATATAGATGTTGTTGAGTATAGCTGACATATAGCTGTTGTTGAGTATTGCTGACATATAGATGTTGTTGAGTATAGCTGACATATAGCTGTTGTTGAGTATTGCTGACATATAGATGTTGTTGAGTAAAGCTAACATATAGATGTTGTTGAGTATAGCTGACATATAGATGTTATTGAGTATAGCTGACATATAGATGTTGTTGAGTATAGCTGACATATAGATGTTGTTGAGTATAGCTAACATATAGATGCTGTTGAGTATAGCTAACTTATAGATGTTGTTGAGTATAGCTAACATATAGATGCTGTTGAGTAAGGCTAACATATAGATGCTGTTGAGTATAGCTAACTTATAGATGTTGCTGAGTATAGCTAACCTATAGCTGTTGTTTATTATAGCTAACATATAGATGTTGTTGAGTATAGTTGACCATATAGATGTTGTTAAGTTATATCTGACCATTTAGGTGTTGCTACTGACAATATCAGACCATATTTGTACAGCACAGTTAATAGTAGTTAACAAGGATGTATGATGTTGTCATCATGGTGTAACATTTGTGCAATCATTCTACTCCCCAACACAATCAGTTCTTATTATCTACTTTAGCTCCTAACTGTCGGTAATCATCTATGACCTGTTCGGTGTTTACCTGCTGTGTATCTGTTCAATGGACAGGAAAGTGTCCATTTATCAGTTCATTCTGTCCAAATGTGCCCATTCAGCAGACACATTGGACAGAGAATTAACAAGTTACAATGACAAAGTAGATAATGTTAACAATATGCAACACAAAAGGTCAGCCACTTATTAAACACTTACATTAATAAACTCTTGAATGTATAGACGTATTGCCGTTAACAATGTGATTAACGCACCCAAATGGTCACAGCCTGCTTGTTACGACCTCTGTCATTGTTATGCTCGGTGTGGTCGCTATACCTAGTATATAGGTAGATTTTCCCAGCATATAGGTAGATTTTCCCAGTATATAGATAGATTTTCCCAGTATATAGGTAGATTTTTCCAGTATATAGATAGATTTCCCCAGTATATAGGTAGATTTCCCCAGTATATAGGTAGATTTTCCCAGTATATAGATAGATTTCCCCAGTATATAGATAGATTTTCACAGTATATAGGTAGATTTTCCCAGTATATAGATAGATTTTCACAGTATATAGGTAGATTTTCCCAGTATATAAGTAGATTTTCCCAGTATATAGGTAGATTTTCAGAGTATATAGGTAGATTTCCCCAGTATATAGCTAAGATTTTCCCAGTATATAGGTAGATTTCCCCAGTATATAAGTAGATTTTTCGAGTATATATAGATAGATTTTCCCAGTATATAGGTAGATTTTCAGAGTATATAGGTAGATTTCCCCAGTATATAAGTAGATTTTCCCAGTATATAGATAGATTTTCCCAGTATATAGGTAGATTTTCAGAGTATATAGGTAGATTTTCCCAGTATATAAGTAGATTTCCCCAGTATATAGATAGATTTTCCCAGTATATAGGTAGATATTCCCAATATATAAGTAGGTTTCCCAGTATATAAGTTCAGGATTGTACCACCGGTCCAAGTGAAAGGATAAGACAAGTACTGGTGAACAAGGGCAACAATCGCCACGAGATCAGCACCACTATACGAGGACACTTGGACCAGTCATACAATCCTGAACCAAGAACAGAAAATACAATACTTCCACTAAAACTGTATTACAAATCCAATGTACAATGAATACAAGAAAGAGGAATGAATAATGTAAAACAATAATGTGAAAAGTAGTAAAAACCACAAACTCTAATGAGAACATCGACATCATTATATACTATGATGATGTCAATGTTGGCATCATCATTTTATATAATGCTGTCAAATCTACTTGAACGTATCTACTTGCACGTTCCAGGTACAATGGGATGTGAAAGTAGATACGTTGGTGGTTAAGCGGTAGACTCTTGCATAGCCACTAACACCCCCAATAGGGATTCGAGCAGGAATTCACAACACAAAAATGTCCCTGCATTGATAATTATTAATCCTTCCTTACCCCTGAATGACCCAAGACTACACCCCCACCAATCCTCCTCCCCCACCCACCCCCACCAATCCCCCTAAAGCCTTCCCCCCTACCCCCTACTTCCCCTCCCCTACCTCTACACCCCCCCACACCCTTCCTCTTGAAAACCGTTGCTTTATCCCTTCACCTCTGTATCATCACCCCCATCAACCCCCCGTGAGCTTATGTTAATTCCCTCACGCCCCCCTCTCTCCATCTCCTCCCTGTCGCTCTCTGTAAATCGATAGAACATCTCTGATCATCACTTTACTGCGCCACTTTGTCCTCGCTGTCCTCACTAAGCTGTCCTCTCTAAGCTGTCCTCACTAAGCTGTCCTCACTAAGCTGTCCTCACTAAGCTGTCCTCTCTAAGCTGTCCTCTCTAAGCTGTCCTCTCTAAGCTGTCCTCACTAAGCTGTCCTCTCTAAGCTGTCCTCTCTAAGCTGTCCTCTCTAAGCTGTCCTCACTAAGCTGTCCTCTCTAAGCTGTCCTCACTAAGCTGTCCTCTCTAAGCTGTCCTCACTAAGCTGTCCTCTCTAAGCTGTCCTCTCTAAGCTGTCCTCACTAAGCTGTCCTCACTAAGCTGTCCTCACTAAGCTGTCCTCTCTAAGCTGTCCTCACTAAGCTGTCCTCACTAAGCTGTCCTCTCTAAGCTGGTCTCTCTAAGCTGGTCTCTCTAAGCTGTCCTCACTAAGCTGTCCTCTCTAAGCTGTCCTCTCTAAGCTGTCCTCTCTAAGCTGTCCTCACTAAGCTGTCCTCTCTAAGCTGTCCTCTCTAAGCTGTCCTCACTAAGCTGTCCTCTCTAAGCTGTCCTCACTAAGCTGTCCTCACTAAGCTGTCCTCTCTAAGCTGTCCTCTCTAAGCTGTCCTCACTAAGCTGTCCTCTCTAAGCTGTCTACACTAAGCTGTCCTCACTAAGCTGTCCTCACTAAGCTGTCCTCTCTAAGCTGTCCACACTAAGCTGTCATCTCTAAGCTGTCCTCTCTAAGCTGTCCTCACTAAGCTGTCCTCACTAATCTGTCCTCTCTAAGCTGTCCACACTAAGCTGTCCTCTCTAAGCTGTCCACACTAAGCTGTCCTCACTAAGCTGTCCACACTAAACTGTCCTCTCTAAGCTGTCCTCACTAAGCTGTCCACACTAAACTGTCCTCTCTAAGCTGTCCTCACTAAGCTGTCCTCACTAAGCTGTCCTCTCTAAGCTGTCCCCTCTAAGCTGTCCTCACTAAGCTGTCCTCTCTAAGCTGTCTACACTAAGCTGTCCTCACTAAGCTGTCCTCACTAAGCTGTCCTCTCTAAGCTGTCCTCTCTAAGCTGTCCTCTCTAAGCTGTCCACACTAAGCTGTCCTCTCTAAGCTGTCCACACTAAGCTGTCCTCACTAAGCTGTCCACACTAAACTGTCCTCTCTAAGCTGTCCTCACTAAGCTGTCCACACTAAACTGTCCTCTCTAAGCTGTCCTCACTAAGCTGTCCTCACTAAGCTGTCCTCTCTAAGCTGTCCTCACTAAGCTGTCCTCTCTAAGCTGTCTACACTAAGCTGTCCTCACTAAGCTGTCCTCACTAAGCTGTCCTCTCTAAGCTGTCCTCTCTAAGCTGTCCTCACTAAGCTGTCCTCACTAAGCTGTCCTCACTAAGCTGTCCTCACTAAGCTGTCCACACTAAGCTGTCCTCTCTAAGCTGTCCTCACTAAGCTGTCCTCTCTAAGCTGTCCTCACTAAGCTGTCCTCACTAAGCTGTCCACACTAAGCTGTCCTCTCTAAGCTGTCCTCTCTAAGCTGTCCTCTCTAAGCTGTCCTCTCTAAGCTGTCCACACTAAGCTGTCCTCTCTAAGCTGTCCACACTAAGCTGTCCTCACTAAGCTGTCCACACTAAACTGTCCTCTCTAAGCTGTCCTCACTAAGCTGTCCTCACTAAGCTGTCCTCTCTAAGCTGTCCTCTCTAAGCTGTCCTCACTAAGCTGTCCTCTCTAAGCTGTCTACACTAAGCTGTCCTCGCTAAGCTGTCCTCACTAAGCTGTCCTCTCTAAGCTGTCCTCTCTAAGCTGTCCTCACTAAGCTGTCCTCACTAAGCTGTCCTCACTAAGCTGTCCACACTAAGCTGTCCTCTCTAAGCTGTCCTCACTAAGCTGTCCTCTCTAAGCTGTCCTCACTAAGCTGTCCTCTCTAAGCTGTCCACACTAAGCTGTCCTCTCTAAGCTGTCCTCTCTAAGCTGTCCTCACTAAGCTGTCCTCACTAAGCTGTCCTCACTAAGCTGTCCTCACTAAGCTGTCCTCACTAAGCTGTCCTCACTAAGCTGTCCACACTAAACTGTCCTCATTTCATGGAAGAAAGTTTCACTCAGGGTGCAGGGCGGGGAAGGAGAGAGGAGGGCACCATTGGTTTTAATATGCGTCATATATTTTCGATATTACACCTTTCTTCCAACAAGATAAGAACAATTTGTTCAGGGTATTAACGTTTTCTTTCTTCCTTTCTCGCGGGGATATTGGTAATTTGTGCCTCGAGTTATTGAGCACTTTCTACCACCTGGGCTTGAGAATCAGGTGCGTAAATGCACCACTCGCAGGCGCCAAGGTAGTGGTACCCCAGTCACCAAGGTCGAGGTACCCCAGTCACCAAGGTCGTGGTACCGCAGGCGCCAAGGTCGTGGTACCCCAGTCACCAAGGTCGAGGTACCGCAGGCGCCAAGGTCGAGGTACCCCAGTCACCAAGTTCGTGGTACCGCAGGCGCCAAGTTCGAGGTACAATACTCAAAGATCATCAGCCAGCGCCTGGGACGCAGGACGTCCCCGCCCGTCCTCAGAGAGGTGCTCGTTCAAGCTGCGGACGTCCCCTAAAGTGCAATCAAGAAAAACATTGAAACTGTGCAAAAAACTTTATATTCTGATATATATATATATATATATATATATATATATATATATATATATATATATATATATATATATATATATATATATATATATATATATATATATATATCATTATATCATTACATATTTGTGGTTTAATTCGGCCAAGGGAATATGTATTGGTAGTTACTTGTAGTTACAGTCCGTGGCTGTAACTACACCAAATATGCCGTACCATCTGCCACTCCGGCATTTAGGGAGGCGCGATCTGCGAACTTAGGAAGTGAGTGAATCACTGTTCAATAAAGTTAGAATGTAACCGGTTGTCAGCCATGTGTAAAGAGCGTTTCCTTCACAGTGAGAGCTGTTCCATTAACGACTACCATGCAACTACCTCCGCCGGAACTAACGACCTGTGTGTGAAGTGAAGAACTGTTATTAACGGAGGTTGCTTCCTAGTAGAACACAAGCACGCAATCCCAACTAATGAAATAGATAAATGTCATGTTCAACGATCTTCCGCAAATACAGCATTCGGAGCGT